CTTGATCATTGCTGCAAATATTTTCTTTATCACTAAATATGTCTTCATGTACATTTCACAAGTGACTTCTGCTTGAAAACTAACTCTATTGAGCATATTTCTCCAGAAATCAATATTTTTAAATTTTTTTTCCTTTAAAACTAACATTCAAAAGAGACAGCTCTTGTTTACAGAGTAACTTAGTTTAGCATTATGGCTAACAATGTTTAAAAACAGCTAACTTAAAATACAAACATTTAAATTCTGAAGTTTAACTATTGAGAGGCTACCTCCGACTGTGGAAATTTACAGGGCAAGAAAAAGTAGGTAATCTTTCCCCCAATTCTACTCTTCATTAAGGACGTTTCAGGCAGCTATTCTGTGGGATCTAGGAGTAAGACCTCATGAGGTTTTAAGACAGTTTAAAATTTTAAAATGCCTTGGATGAACCTTGAAAACATTATGCTAATATATAAAATTCAAGGGAAAATCTGCATGAAAGAAGCCAGTCACCAAAGACCACATATTGTACGATTCTATTTTTGTGAAACATCCAAAGTAGGTAAATCTATACAGACAGAAAGTAGATTAGTTGTTGCCAGGGGCTGGGTGGAGAGGGGAATGCAATGACTGCTAACAGGTACTGGTTTTCTTTCTTGAGAGATGAAATCTTCTGAGACTAGACCAGATTACAAACTCCATGAACATTTAAAAAAACACTGAAACTAAGTATACTTTAAATAGGTGAATTGTGTTAACAATATTAACAAAGCTAGTAACCAAAGAATTAACATGCCTAGCTAGGCACAGTGGCCCACACCTGTAATCCTAGCACTCCGGTAGGCCAAGGCAGGTGGATTGCTTGAGCTCAGGAGTTCAAGACTAGCCTGAGCAAAAATAAGACTTGTCTCTACGAAAAATAGGGAAAATTAGCTGGGAATTACGGCAGGAACCCATAGTCCCAGATACTTGGGAAGCTGAGGCAAGAGGATGGCTTGAGCCCAGGAGTTTGAGGTCACTGTGAGCTAGAATGCCATAGTACTCTACACAAGGTGACAGAGTGAGACTGTCTCAATAAAAAGACCAGCCTCAGTAAAAGTGAGACCCCATCTCTACTAAAAATAGAACCCCCCTCCCCCCAAAAAACTAAAACTAGCTGAGTGTGGTGGTGGGTGCTTGTAGTCCCAGCCACTTAGGAGGCTGAGGCAAGAGGATCACTTGAGCCCGGTAGTATGAGGTTGCTGTGAACTGTGATGTCACAGCACTCTACCCAGGGCGACTTAGTGAGACTCCATCTCAAAAAAAAAAAAAAAAACCCAACCAATCAGCTCAAATTGGGGAATGAGGCCGGGGGTGGGAGGATTGCAATGATTACACATTCTTTTAGATTGTTTTTGATTTTCTCTCAAGTTAGCTACAAACAAATGAACATATTAAATATAAAGCTTACAGCTACCTAAGGTTTAAAAGTTGCCATTGTAATCCATATAGGCTTGGTAACTGTCTTCAACTCTCAATGCCATTCAGAATTGAATACAAATGATGAATTTCACAAATTAGATTTTAATTCTAAGCAAAATGCATGTAGGTGAACTACCAATGATGAGGGGAAGCAGACAAAAATGCCCCATAAACCTTTATTACCTCACCAAACCAAGACAGCCATAATAGATGGCACTGCTAAAATGGTGACCAGGGCAAATTCTCTTCTTAATTTCTGTGTTGGCATTCTAGATGACCTTGGGTAAGTTAACATATCATCTACAGGACCACTTTCTTGCTGTGCAAATTGGGGATTCTAATAATTGCCAGCTACCTCTGAGGAATGCCAGCAACCAGACCCATTTTGTAAAGCATTCAGATATACTTGGAAGATAAGTGTTATATCAGTACCAAGTATGATGGCTGTTATTTATGATTCCTCAGATGTTTTAATGTAAGTTTTAAAAATGGCTTCATCTGGTTTTCTGAATTTGCCTGGCCACTTTCATATATACAACCATTGTTGCCACAGAATCTACACAGGCGTGTTTATGTGTATCTATTCTGAATGTTAACAACTCCTAGATTTTAAATTTGGGGCATAGGATTTACTGAGAAGCTCCTGGTATGTGAAATCTACAACATTCTTGTAGTGTGAAAGATGGGGCTAATTTTTTGTTCATTGCTAGACAACAAGATCTTCTCTTAGGGACCATGTGTGGTGGTTCACACTGTAATCCTAGCACTCTGGGAGGCGGAGGCAGGTGGATTGCTTGAGCTCAGGAATTCAAGACCAGTGTCTCTAAAACTAGCCGGGCAGTGTCGGGCGTTGTGGTGGACACCTGTAGTCCCAGCTATTCAGAAGGCTGAGACAAGAGGATCACTTGAGCCCAAGAGTTTGAGGTTGTGTGAGCTAGCACTTTACCAAGGATGACAAAGTGAGACTCTCTCTATCTCAAACAAAAAACCAAAAAAAAACAAAAAATACCCTCTTTGTTTCAGGCTTATGTATCAGCAAGAAACACCAACCACTGAACTCCTTTGAACATCTTATTTTATATTTCCAGCAAACTTTTTATTCCTTTCTATGTAAGAAATTAAGGTATATATCCAAATTAGTTTTTCAAGGATTTTTGAGCTTGTTTGAAGGAAAAAACTGCATGTAACTTATTACTTATTTGAGTCTACATACCCTTCAAATTGGAGAGTCCAAACATAGATGGAATGAATAATACTGTAAAAGGAAGGGGGGGGGGGGCGCTAAGTAATCCAATGTACATCGGGGATAGGAAAACTGATGAGTACGTATAAAGAATAAAAATAAAGACTAAAGAGCTGAAATTGAGAAAATCAACAGACTGAGCAAAAACTCTCACTCTGAGCTTCCTACCAGTCAAGTCAAAGAGAAAAACTGCTTGGATGTGTTACTCAGCTTTCCTCACGTCATGAGAGGGGTTTATTAGGAAGACAAAATGTTTTTATGGCGCAGAAACTTTACATGGCAGGAGTATGGCCTTGTTTGCAGGATACTGAGAAACAGAACAGGTCGTGTATTTGATAGTGATTATACAGAAAGGTGGTGGTTGTTTTTTGGGTTTTTTTGTTTTGTTTTGTTTTTAATGTGGACTATCTCAGCAAACGCTAATAACACATTTCTGGAAACTTAAAATTTTCCCTTAACCTAGGATATTTTAAGTAACTTTATACAAAATCACAGAACTGGGGGGAGAAGTTCCATTTGGGGGTAATAAGTGTTAAACATGGACATTTTAAAGATATAAAGATATCTAGCTGGAAGGAAAGTAATCCATGCTTATAGGAGATTGCAATGAAAACTGTCGATAAAGCTCTTACCTGAAGCTACACGGTTAAGGCAACTCTGAAGCTGAATTTTTTTTTATCTTTCACACTTTTTTAGCTTTGTTTAATCACAATTTTTAGCTTCACCTAAAAGCTCTGTTAACAGCACAAGATGAGTTAAACACTTGGCATGACTGTGCGTGAGCATCTTGGATTCAGATCCCTCAGAGAGATCAGAGACCAGGAGACAGCAATTCTGTTGAACTGAATGGCTGCAGCAGAGACTGAATTACTCCCAAAGTGGGGAATATTTACTATATGACCCTCGACAGAAAAAGTTTACAGACCCCTGATGTAGACTAACCCTTTACTTTTTACATGTGGAAAACTGAGCCTCTGCATCTTGCTGTGACTTAATGATCCCAATTACTGGTTGGGATCAATCCCTTCCACTATAAAACAACGAAAGGTACATCTGTCCTCTTTGGAGGACAGTGAGGTGCATTCTGCAAAGGTTTAATTTAAACGATATAAGTGGCAAAATGAGGCAAGTCTGATTTTTCTGGCCCAAATTAAACGGGCCAGCGTGCAACTATAAAAACAGATCCAAGCCATTCTAGAACTCCAAAACCCTAGGTGAGATTAGAAACAAAACGGATCAAAAAATCTTCATATTAAAAGTTGCACAAAAAAAACCTTGTTCAACTAACAAGTAAGAAACCTGTATCTTACAAATACATACACTTGAATTTAATAAAATCTGAGCAAAGGCTTTGCTCTACCATGCTGACCATGTACCTGTTTTTAAAATAGACACAAACCTACTAATTCAAATGGAACTGTTAAAAGACACACAAGCAGAAAAAAAGGAAAGAAAAAGAAAGAAAGGAAAGAAAAAATGAAACGAAGACTTGAGAAACATCAGACATCAAAATGCCCCGCAAGCCTGTCTTGCGTGAGATGATCATTGCCCTTATGAGAAAGGTACTTCTGAAATCAAGTAAATATGTAGCATCTCTAACCATTTTAACCAGAGTGCTTTTTTATCCACCCTCCCAAAAGTGAATTTGAAAAAATTAAATTTGGCTTTAATTCATTAAGCTACATTATTCTCTCTGAAAACTTCTAATTTTAAAATCAAGTACTCATTTGATTTTCAAGCAAGGTCAAGAGAACAAGGCAGCCTAGTGCTGACATTACAGGGATATGCCCCACGCTGCTTGGCAGTTACATCAACGCGGCGTGTTGCTATGGTGCCTGACTGTTAATTTCTGAGGGAAGGTGATTATAAAGCCGCCAGATGAACATCAATTGGATGACACCACTTCAGCACACAACACTGACATGCCTTACTCTTGTCTGCAGCAAGTTGATTTTATGAATCACTATTTTTGAGATGTGAATATTCCTCTATAACTTTAAACCTACCAAGGCAACAAGCAAGGAAAAAAAAATAAAAATAAGTTTAGCTTCAACAAACAGAGAAAAGTTTGATAATATAGTATTTGGCTGCGGGGCCGGGGGGGGG